GGGGGGGGGGGGGGGGGGGGGGAGGGACTCCCAGAAAAAATTGGGTGCGGGTGTCTGGCCCGCGTCCCAAAACCCTCACCCTTTTTCTGACCAAAATCTGCGATATTCCCTACCCTATTTATGACCTGACCTGTAAATCAAAACTCTGTTTCAGACCTGCGTTATAATTACTTCCCTAGTTCAGACCAATGTTAAATTACTGTAAACATATTTTGTGAAGGGCTTTTGTTGATTTTCTTTTCGATAATGATGAAAAAGTGGCTTTTTCTTAAAAACATACCCGTATCAAGGCTAGAGTGCAAAAATCATACCCTATTTATGACCAAAATGGCCAAAATCAGCTAAAATCGATACCCTATTTATGACCAAACCAGCTGAAAAACCATACCCTTTGGGGCCGGACAGACCTATATAGCCCATATAAGGGAGTAACCCCCTAGCCCTGCCCCCCTACCCCACGGGGACTGCCACTTATATAGTTTAGCAATAACAAAAGTAATGAAATGAAAAATGAATTTCAGATTGATTCTTTAAGTTTTCATGAACTACCAGAATTTTTAGGTGTGGCACATTCCTCAATTGTTGCTGTTTTTCCTCAATCAAAAACCAAGCACAAACTGGTTGAGTTGCATGTGTCATCAGTAACATACCGACGTACTCGCCAAATTAGCGAGGCAAAAGTTCATTTCAGATTTTGAAAACATTCAAGGTTAGAAATACTCACTCAGTGAAATAATTTTGTTATCCCTCTGAATTCAATTATTATTCTGTTAAGGCAATTTAGCTTTGTTGTCAGTGGTAGCTCCATTTGATGGGCCGAAATAAAAGACACAATGAACCTTTGTCTGGATAAACATTTGGCTATGGGTGAAGAACCCATAGCCGCTTTAATAATCACCATTGTTTTGAAAAACTACAGTAACAATAATAATAAATGCTCTGCCCATCAAAGGTGAGGGCAATGAACCCACTTTAGTAACGTGGGCAGCCCCACCCAACCAGTGACAACAAAGCAAGCTGAAAGAAAAGCTAAATAAAAAGGGGCTTAGCTTGGCAACTGGTTAAACAGACTACAACCACAAAATTTAGGGTTGTAAACAAATTGCCCCTTGCAGAACAGGGTTATATTGAGTGAAAACAACCCATAAGAAAGCGCAACAGCCACCCCTGTAGACCGTTCATCACTGCATAAAAACAGCCATACTACAAACACTATCAAGGCTGAACAGTCACCCCTATAGACTGCTCAGAGTGTATCAGAAAAGCCAAACTACAAAAACTATGAAAGCTTAACAGCCACCCCTGTAGACTGCTCAGCAGTGTATAAAAACACCCACGTTACAAAAGCTA